AATTCCATCAGTGCAGCTTGGACTTCTTATTCTTACTTCAATACCATTGGTTCTGGGTAATATGCTACATCCTGAAAAGGCTGAATGTCGACCAATTCTTCTTGGTACAGTGACTCTGTGTATTCCTCCATCCTCTTTTGATGCTTCCTGCATCGTTCAATATTTTGCCCATAAATTACTTCAATGTGGCAACTTGAGGCTTGAATTTTTTCTTCAGTTCTTTCAGCTTGAGAAATGTTAAGCGTATTCTTCCCTTTTGGTTTTCCAACTCCAGGTCTTTGCACACTTCATCATAATATTTTACTTGGTCTTCTCCAGTCGCTCTCTGAAATCTTCCATCCAGGTCTTTCATCTTGTCATTTCTTCCATTTGCTTTAGCTACTCTCCATTCAAAAGCATGTTTCAGAGTCTCTTCTGACATCCATTTTGGTCTTTTCATCCTTTCCTGTCTTTTTGATGACCATTTGCTTTCTTCATGGATTTTTTTTCTTTTATTCTTTTCTGAATCCTTTGTTCTTTTAATGTATGATGTTCTTGATGTCATCCCACAACTCATCTGGTCTTCGGTCACTAATGTTCAATGTGTCAAATCTATTCTTGAGATGGCCTCTAAATTCAGGTGAGATATATTCAAAGTTGTAGTTTGGCTCTTGTGGACTTGTTTTAATTGTCTTTAGCTTCAACTTGAACTTGTGTATGAGCAATTAATGGTCAGCTCTGCAGTCAGCTCCTGGCCTTGTTTTGACTGATGATATCGAGCTTCTCCACCATCTCCTTCCACAGATGTAGTCAATTTGACTCTTGTGTATGACATCCAGGAAGATTCATGTGTACAGTCGCCATTTATGTTGCTGAAAAAGGTATCTGCAGTAAGTCATTAGTCTTCCATCACACAATCTCCAGTGCTGTTCTATCACCATGGCCTATTTTCCAAGTACCGATCCTTCTTGTTTCACATTCCAATCACCAGTAATTATCGATTGCATGTTTGATCAATTTCAGACTGCAGGAGTTGGTAAAAAATCTTCAGTTTCTTCAACTTTGGCGTTAGTGGTTGGTGCATAAGTTTGAATAATAATCTATTAACTGGTCTTCCTTGTAGGTGTATGGATATTATCCTATCACTGACAGTGTTGTACTTCAGGACAGATCTTGAAATGTTCTCTCTGACAATGAACCTGTTCTCAATTCTTTGGATTCACTTTCCTTTGAAACAGGCACAAGGCACAAATATTAGGTACCTACTGTCTGTCAACCACTGCACGAAGGGCTTTATTGGATAACAGCAACAACTCCCACACATTAAGTACCTACTGTGTGCTAGGCAATTACCAAAGAATTTTGGTAATACTTAAAGAATGAGTTCATCATTCTCAAGTACCCAGTGTGTCAAGCACTGTTCCAAGGGCTTCACTGAATAACCTCAACAGCTCCCACAAATTAAGCACCCACTGTGTGCCAGGTCAAGTGTTAAGCACTTATTAAAAACAGCAAGTGCCCACATACTAAGCACCTAATATCTGCTAGACAATTACTAAAGGGCTTATGGAATAAGTTAGTCATTGTCCCTTTTTAATCACCCTGTGTGTCAAGCACTGTGATAAGGACTTCATTGGGTAACAGTAATAGTTCCCATACTTTAAGTACATGTGTCAAGGGCCTTAGAACAAAACAGTAATAGACCTTAGTTATTACTGAGCACCTACTATGTGCATGCACTTTGCCAAGGGCTTTGCAGATAGCAAATCTATGTCTTGAGCAACAACCATGCACACAGCACCACGCTAGGTCCTTTAGAGATGAACAAAAGTGCCCATTTGAGCACCTATTATACGCTCAGCACGAGGCTAACCTCTTTACAGCAAATGTCACTTACTGAATACCTGCCCTATGCCAGGCATTGTGCTAAGGACTTTGCAGAACAGTCATAGCCCCCACGTCTTCAGTACCTACTGTGTGCCTGGCACTGGCTAAGGTTACTACAGACTGCTAATGGCTTCCATTTACTGAGCACCAACTATGTGTCCAGCTGTCCAGCATCGTACTATCTACTTTTAGACTAAAAACAGCCACTGTAATTATGAAGCACCTACTATGTGCCAGTCAGTGTGTGTGCTAAGGGCTTTGCTGAATGAACAGCAACCAGTCCCACCAATTAAGCACCTACAGTGTGTCAGATATTGTGTTAAGGACTTTATGGAATAACAGCAAAAGTCCCCACACGTTGAGCACCTACTATGGGCTATGGGCCAGGCTGTGCACTAAAGGCACGTCTACTGCATGCCCTACCCTCCGAGCCCTTTATAGACTTGCAACAGGTCACATCATCTTACGTGTCAGGCACTGTGCTAACCACTTCCTACAATCATCTCAACTCACTCTCAACCCACCCCCGCAGTAGATGGTCAGTACTATCACCCTGCCCCATGTTACGCGTTGGGGAGTGAGTCTCAAAGCCCATCTTCCCGGCTTTCTATTATCACTGTGTGCACCTTCTGTGTGCCAGGCCTCTCTAAATCCTTCCTAAAGCCCAGAGGTGGGTCCCACTTTACAGTGGGGAAAAGTAACGTTCAGGAACAGCAAGCTGCTGTCTAAGGAGTCAGCTGTTACCCTCAGGCTAGCTTGGCTAGAGACCGGGAGTTGAGACAGCTCAAACCAGTCAAGGGTGGCTGAAGTCACATTCCCTGGACTGCACCTGACCCTTGAGTCTACCCCTGCCGCATCTGCAGGGAGGTCAGAGACCGCTGGCCTTGCTCCAGCTCCAGGCACAGTCTTCCCAATCACACCAGCCTCCTTTATTCACTGGGCATGTGTGAACTGAACACTATGCATGTCCCTGCCCCAAGCTCTGGGACTGAGAGATGAACCAGAGCCCCCTGCCTTCAAAGACACTGGGCTATCAGGGACCCCAGAGGCCACTCCAATGGCTCATTTAACTAGGGTGAGCCTCACAGTCTCAGCTGAAGTGACACAGCCTCAGAAACTAGATACCTGGGGCTGGACCCCCATTTCTTGACCAGCCACCCCAACAAAAGTGCCTGAAGGGGATCAGGCAGGAGTGGAAAAATCAACCAAGAAGTGCACTGGAAGGAATGGATTTGCTGAAAAAGGGGGAGGGCAAAATAAAATAAACGAAAACCATAATAAAATAAGAAACAACAGTAATGGTAGTGATGATGAAAAAAACCATAATAAAAGAAAGAAAGACGCCTTCCAGAAAAACTCCCAGTCTGGTTACCTACCTTCCACTCTTCAACTGCTAACTTACAAGACTTTCTTACGAGGGAGGGAACAGTAGAGGGCTGAGCTACGAGGCCAGACCAAACTCGTGGTGGGTCTCTGGACGCAAGCAGGCCTGTGGCCCTGCTCTGGCCCCCAGCATGGGCATGTTGTTGTTCCGGTGAGGCAGGAAGGTGGAATGGCGTCTGGAGAGACCCACGGCTGAGTGGTCTGGCCTCCACCTACCCTTGTGTTCAGCTTGGGGAGCCCGCAGCCCATGGGGACACGCCTGGCCCTGAGTCTTTGCTGCCAGCTCTCTTGGCCCCCACCCGTCTTGGGGGCGAGAAGTGGGGAGTCCCTTCTCCCCCACTCCCTGTCCTGGGCCACCCCAGAGGTTCGTGTGGCTGGGCCGAAGCCACTTCCTAGAAGGCCTCAGGGGGCCGTGTCCTTCACAATCCGGCCCAACCTGCATGATGTCTTGGGAGGGGACAGACGTGTGTAGAAACACGGACATGCATGGATGGTGTCACGTGGTGTGGTTTGAGTCCACATTTCTGAGGAGGTGTGCTTCTTGGCAGTGGGATACGGAGAGGTTTTGAGAGACCAAACTGGGACTCTGGCCATCTGTGGGGCCCAGAGCTGCAGGAGATGGGAGATGGCTAGGGGGCACGCAGGGTGGGCCGTCTTTGTGAACCTGCTTGAGACCAGCGCGTACTCACCTTGGTGGCACACGGCCAGTCTCGCGTGGCTGTCCAAGCCACAGGCCACCCTCACTGACTCCACCTCACACACAAATAGGCCCAGACGCTGCTGAGTGGGAAGGGAGAGCAGGGAGGAAGGAGGGGAGCTGGGGGTAGCAGGGGGCTGCATCTCCAAGGCTCCGATGGCCCGGCCTGAGCAGGCGTTGCCCTTGGCTGACCCTCTGACTCCTTGTGCACACCCAGGGGTGTGAAGGGTTAAACACCAAGGTTGCTTCAGACACACAGCCTGGGTAGAGAGGACCGGGAGGAGGGAGGGGGTGGGTGACAGAAGATAACGCAAGGGGCCTGTGGCAGGGAGACCAGGGCAGACACGTCCCAGGAGAGGCTGAGCAGAGAGGGTTAGGAGGGGGTCAGGGGAAAGAGGCAGGGACCGTGGCAGGGGCCGCGCTGTGGCCCAGAAGCTGGGCTGAGTTAGAGCCCTCCCCTCCCTGAGGAGAACAACTTTGCAACTGGGTGGCCAGGCGTGGACAACAGACAAGTACAAGGATCCGAGTGACTGGATAGGACTTGGGACCCCCACACCTGGTGTCAGTTCTACTCCTCACCCCCTGGACCCATGGGGACTGTGCTTGGGGGTCTCAGGCACCAAGCTCCCTGCCCACCATCTAGGGAGGAAGATATGTGTGTGTGCCGGCTGTCTTCCAGAACGGGGGCGCGAGTTGGGATGACAGCCTCGCTGTGCTCTGGGAAAGGCCTGTGAAGTGGGGACAGTGAGGATGTCCTATTTGGCTCCCAAATCTGGAGTGGGAGGCACAGAAAGGAGTCAGCAAGTCCTGCCTGGTGCAGGATCACAGGGCGGGGTCAGACAGCTTTCCTGAGCTAGAGGCAGAAGTGGCACTGGCCAACGACCCCTGCCCCAAGGGACAGAGAACTGGGGCGACGCACTTGCAAGAACCCCGCACGGCCGCATCACTGCCCAATGGGGACACCAAGGCACAGGGCAGGCGGTGCGTCTGAGGCGCCCCCCACCCCCCCGGCGCAGCTTCGCCCGCCGAGGAGGCGGGTCCGCGAGACACGTACTGGACTGCAGCGTACGCTGCCTCACCACCGACGTGAAGGCGCCCAGACCCTGCGGCGAGCGCGCCGCCAGGCGGAAGGCGTACTCTGTGTGCGGCTTGAGGTCGTCCACCACAAACACCGTTGTTGGGTCAAAGGTCCTCCCAACCTGAGGGCAAGAAGACAGACAGGGACAGAGAGAGAGTTAGAGGGAGGGGCAGAGTCAGGGAGACAGGCAGATGGAGACAGAAACAACCATGGAGACAAGAGGCGGGGCGAAAGCCCAGACATCTGCCCCGCCCTCCGCCTCAACCCTCTGTACGTGGCCGCACGCACGCACGCACGCACGCACGGCCAAGTGGTACCTCTCGGCCGTGGTCGCCTTCCCGGTAGAGCAGCTCATATTTGATGATGCTCTCCTGCCGCGGAGGGCTCCATGAGAGCCCGATGCTGGTCTCTGATTTGGCCTCAGCCCGGAAGTTCATGGGCTGGCCTGGCACTGTGGGGGAGAGGGAGGTGATAAACTCAGATGGGAGGCAGGAGAGGTGGGAGTCCTAACAAAGGGTGCCCAACCTGCCAGGTGTCCTCAATCTCCCAAAAAGAGCCACGTGAAACAGCACTGCCCTGAAGGAAGGGATATTGGTTTCAGAAGCTTCCAGACTGTTCACATAGCACTCCTCTCTTGTTCCTTATGGTTTTACTGGAACCCACCATCACCCCTTGCTGTCAGTCCATTTCAATCCCAGCAATGGGAAAAAAAAAAAAAAAAAATATCCCCTTTCAAACCAACCTAGTACCCATCCCAGCTCACATGAAAGGACGGAGAACCTGGCAGGGACCATATTTTGAAGTACGAATCTCCGAATCTCCGTCCCACATCCACCCACGGCAGCATAGTTCCAACTTTCCCATTCTCTGCTTCAGCAGATGCCTGAGTCTTTCTGGGTTTAGATTTCAAAGGCTGCACCACTGAACCCAAGGGTGAGAGACTCTGAGAAAGTTGGCATCCAGGTGCCAAAATGCCCCTCCGAGTCCTTCTCCCTCAGTGGGGTGGGAGGCCAGCCCACAACCTTAGTGATGAGGTACTGTGTATTCCTCCAATAGCTTCAAGCCCTCATCAGGCCCCACTTGGGGCGGGACAGTTGGCAGAGAAGAAGGGGGGGACCTGTACCCTTCATCTCACACAGCTGCTGGCGTCTGGGATTGCCCAATGGGATGTCTAGGGGAAACCAGCAACTTGGATATTTCAGAGAAAATTCTCTTCCCTTCCCTGTACGATGAGTAACTTTATGTGCTAGCGTGGGTGGGCTGTGGTTGCCAGAGGTTTGCCAAACGCTAGACCAGTCACCATTCCATATGGAATACAATGCGGTCACCTTCCAAACATAAGCTAGTGTAACTAACCCATCACTCGGTTGGAAAGGGCGTGCTGTTCCTGCAGACATGTATATTCTGGCACTTCCTCTCTCTCCTCTACACTCGTCCCCTCCCAAACCTATGGATCCCGGGAGGCAAGCCTGTAGGAGCCTCCACCCTTCTGCCTGCCCTATGGAACTGCTGGACCCCCACAATCCCGTGAACCAATCCCTTAGAGGGAATCTCTCTCAAAACCAAATGCACTTGCTTTACTCAGGACTCCTGGCGACCCCATGCATGTCAGAGTGGAGCTGAGCCCCATGGGGTTTTCAATGCTGAGTCATCAGTGACTGCCAGGCCTTTCTTCTGAGGCACCTCAGGATAGACTCCAACCTCCAACCTCCAGCCTCTTTGGCAGCTGACCGCTTAACTGTTTGTACCACTCAGACTCCCTGTCACATGTTAACTTGTACATATTTTTCAATCTACGTGAAAAACAGAGAGAACCTGTTGAGGGCTCCCCACCTCACTGACCCCCACGGACCCCGCTGCATGCCTCACCTCCCTGCTGAGTCTTGACCTGGATGGGGTCCGAGAGGGGCCCGTCGCCCACCGAGGTGAAGGCCAGCACCCGCACGGTGTAGGTCTCGTCCTCCAGCAGGCTGCCCACGGTGGTCAGCAGGCTGTCGTCCACGTTGTGTTTCTGCCAGTTGCCCACAGGGTGCTCAGGTTCCATGGTGTAGTAGACACGGTAGCCCCGGATCAGGCCGTTGGGCTCCACCGGCTCTTCCCACTGGATGATCATGGTGGTCGCGCTCAGCATACGGGCCTGCACGTTGCGTGGCGCGCTAGCTGGTGCCTGCTCACCAGTGCGAGTCACCACAGACTCGCTGGGTGGGCCCTGGCCGATGGAGTTGACGGCTGACACCCAGATCTCGTACTCGGAGTTGGGGCTCAGGCCGCCGATGCTGTAGCGTGTCGTCGTGATGTCCTCCTTGATCTGGTACGGCCCGTCTTGGCTCTTGGATTTATATTCGATGACATAGTAGGACACAGGATCTGGGTTGCCCGAGTCCCACGTGATGGTGATGCTGGTGGCTGTGTTCTCTGTCACCACTGGAGTCCCGGGAGCTTTGGGGAGAGCTGTGGGCAGGAGATGGGGTCACACATTGGGCAGCTGTGTGGCTTTCGGCCACTCAGTCGCCCTCTCTGAGCCTGGATTTCCTCAACGGAGGCTACATGCGTAATAGCAGCCCACACGCAGCCACCTGGTTTTATAAAGTTTTATTGGCAGGCAGCCACACTTACACGTCTATGGATGCTTTTGCGTGACAATGGCAGAGTTGAGTAATTATGACCCAGACTAGGTAGCCCATGTTGTGGACTGAATCATGGCCCCCAAAAAGACATGTTCAAGTCCTAACCCCCAATACCTATGAATGGGACCTTATTGGGAAACAGGGTCTTTGCAGATGGCATCAGTTAACATGAGGTCTCACTGCACTAGGCTGAGTTCTAACCTGATGCAGGCATACTTCATTTGACTGTGCTCCACACATACTGAGTTCTTGACAAACTGAAGGTCCGTGGCCACCTTGTGTCAAGCAAGTCTGTTGGCACCATTTTTCCAATAGTGTGCTCACTTCGTGTCTCTGTTGCATTTTGGCAATTCTCACAGTGTTTCAAACTTTTTCATAACGCTATACCTCCTAGGCTACAGTACAGTGTCAACAGAACTTTCATACACACTGGGAACCAAAACAATTCATGTGACTCGCTTTATTGCAATACTTGCTTTACTGCAGTGGTCTGCAACTGAACTTGCCGTATCGCTGAGGTACTCCTGTATGATGCTGAGTCAATTCCAACTCATAATGACTGTCTAGGACAGACTGGAACTGGCCCATAGTGTTCCCTAAACTGTAATCTTATGGAAGCAGATTGCCAGGTCTTTCCTCCTGCAGAATGGCTGGTGGGTTCAGTCCTTATAAAAGAGGAGAAGAGACAGAGGAGATGCCACGGGAAGACAGAGGCTGAGAACGGAGGGAGACAGCCCCAGGCCAAGGATTGCTGGCAGCCGTGAGAAGCTGGAAGGTAGAAGGGGAGGAAGGATTCTCCCCTAGAGCCTCCAGAGGCCACAGGGCCTGGCTGGCTCCTTGCTTTCAGACCTCTCGCCCCCGGAACTTTGAGAGAACAAACGTCTTATTGTTTTATGCTACCTCGTTTGTGGTATTTCATTATAGCGGCCCTAGGAAAGGCTTGTGCGCCTGACACAAGCCATGATATTTCCAATCGCCTCGTATGCATGTGAGAGCTGGACAATGAATAAGGAAGACCGAAGAAGAGTTGATGCTTTTGAGTTGTGGTGCTGGTGAAGACTGCTGAAAGTACTGTGGACTGCTAAAAGAACTAACAGATCTGTTCTGGAGGAAGTGCAGCCAGAATGCTCCTTGGAAGCAAGAATGGCCAGACTTCGTCTCACCTATTTTGGTCATGTGGTAAGAAGGGACCATTCCCTGGAGAAGGATGTCATGCTTGGTACGGTGGAGGGTCGACGAAAGAGGGGGAGGCCTTCAACGAGATGGATTGATATGGTGGCTGTGATGATGGACTCGAGTATAGCAGGGATTGTGGAGCTGGTACAGGATCGGGCAGCGTTTTGTTCTGCTGTGCATGGGGTCGCTATGAGTCGGAAACGACTCGACGGCACTTAACAACAACAACAACAGGAAGGGAATATAGCCTACAGAGCCGAAAATAGTTACTCTTTGCCACCCCTGTCCTCGGCTCTCGCTGTTCAGTCCTCTTTATGCCTGTTTTGCCTGTTCCCACCCCACACTTGCTGTTCCCTGTCCTGGAACGCTCCTCCACAGACAACCACCGCATGATTCCTCTCAAACATCACGCCTTCAGTCCTCCCTCGCCACCTGCCTTCCCCAGTTCTTCTTTTCTGTCCGAGGTTTGTTCCCTCCTTGTCCTGTTCATCTGTTTTCTACGCCTGCAGGGCCCAAGTTGTTTTCACAGCTGTGTCCCTAGCACCTGGCACAAACTCTCTGCTCAGATAACTATGATTTTCTCTCCCACTTGCCCCGACATCTCATGCCACACAGGTCCCGGAAAGCATTTGTCAGGAGTTTAATCCCTCAGCAAAATGCCCAATGACCTGCTGACTCTGACACTTTTCTTTGGCTCTTCAGGGGTTGCCAACATGTTCTGGGAAGGGCCAGCCGGGAAATATTTTCAGCTTTGAGGACCAGAGACAGTCCCTCCGTCACCACCACTCAACTCTGCAGTTGTAGGTTGAGAATCGCTACAGACAAGACGGGAACAAATGGGGGTGGCTGTGTGCCAATAAAACAATTTACAAGTACAGACTACAAAGAATAACACGTTCACATACACAATACCGCATTATCGGTAATAAAAAACATTAATCTGTGTGGATACACACGTAGAGTGGCTAAATGATCAGGGATGTCTAGGCAAAAAGGAATATACCCATGACTGTATATAAGGTGGCAGATATTTCTACATACATATTTGTATGTGCTATAAGATCATCCATACATATAATAGAGCTAATAGGGCAAAGTTACAATAATTTCTTGGCCACAGCCAAACACCCTGAGGGAGTGAGTTATTCACTGGGTCCACAGGCTCTCAGGACCACAGTCACAGAGGACATCAAGCTCAATTGGCATAACATAGTCCACAAAAACATTGTTCCACATCCTACTTTGTTTGAGTAACAGCTAGGGTCTTACAAGCTTGCAAGTGGCCATCTAGATGCAACAATGGGTCTCTCTTCATTAGGAACAAAGAAAAATGAAAAAAAAAGAAAAAAAAAGATGCAGGGAAACAATTAGTCCAAGGGACTAGTGGACCATGCAACCCTCAGCCCGTATGTCGATGAGACCAGAAGAACTAGATAGTGCCCAGCTACCACTGACAACCACTTGGAAACGGATCAAAACAGAGATCCTGGATAAAGTAGGAGAAAAATGTGGAACAAAACTCAGAATCATTAAAAAAAAAAAGGACCAGCCTTACTGGTCTGATAGAGCCCAGTGGGACCCCCGAGACTATGGTCCCAGTCACCCTTCGGGCCTAGAACTGAACTCACTCCCATGGCTTCCAGTCAAACAACAGACAGGCGTATGGGGTGAACATTTACACCAGCTGGGTCCACGCCCTAGGACAATCAACCATGGGAGACCGGAGAGGCAGTACTGCACAGGGAGACAGCTCAGGGGCAGGCAGGCATAGAAAGAAGGACACAGAAAAAAGGCAACCACAGGGAGGAAGTGGAAGAGAGCTGTTACACTAGGAGGACTGCAGCCAATGTCAGGGAACAAAATGTGAACGAACTGCTGTATGGAAAATGAATTTGCTCTGTAAACTTTCACCCAAATCACAACTTAGAAAAAAAGAAAAAACACCTCAATTGGCAAACACAGATGGGGGCCAGATTTAGCCCATGGGCCATAATTTCCTGACCCCGGCTCTAAAGCTTGGAAAAAATTCAAGGGCAGCGTCCTCTGAATCTCACCGCAAATGAGAGACACTAGGAAGACTCATGTTACTTCTGTTCTTTTCACTCTGAGCCTTTGGACATACTGTTGCCTCTCTGCTGTTGCTGTTCCTGTCTTGTCTGGTTCACTCCTGTTCAATTTTTAGTTTTTCAGGTGAACCATCCACTGCCCTGGGACATCTTCCCTGACCCACCTTTCCTGGGAGGTGAGACATTTACTTTGAGTCTGCACAGAGCTTGTGTGTCCCCTAGTACAACTAGCACTGAAACTACTTGCAGTTGCACGGACCCCGCCCTCCTGGCGAACCCCACACGTGCCAGAGTAGAAGTGAGCTTCGTTGGGCTTTTTCAGAAGTAGGTTGGCCGAGATTGCCAGGCCTTTCTTCCAAAGTGCCTCTGGGTGGATTCAAACCTACAACCTTTCAGTTAGTAGCCAAGTGAGTTCACCATCGGGACCAGCAGGGACTTGGTTTACGGGACTAACCAGCCTGTACTGTAGCAGCTTGGCTACATGGGTGTCTCCCCCATTGGACTATGAACCCAACATGGAGCAAGACGGTGTCTCAGTGTGGGGTCTCCATGAGGTGGTGCAATTAACACGCTCAGCTGCTAACTGGAAAGCCGCATGTTCGAGTTCACAAAAGGTGCCTCGGAAGAAACTCTTGATGGTCTACTTGTGAAAACGCAGCCACTGAGAAGCTGACAGAACACATGGCGTCACCAAGAATCAGATTCGACTCACTGGCAACCGGCGATGTCTCCTAACACCGGGCCAGGCACGGGGTCATTTACAACCAACAATTATTTGTTCAAACAGCAACTGTGCACTTCAGACCCAAGAAGTCAACATGATAACTCAGGGATTTCCTAGTGGTCCTCCTCCCCCTGCCCCCCTGCCAACCCCACTGCCCCACTTACATTTCACCGTGATCTGAGCCACAGCCTCGATGACGCCCAGGCTGGACATGGCCACGCACGTGTAGTTGGCCGAGTCCTTGACGTCCGTGAGTTCCAAAACGTTCCGACCCACAGGCATGTCATCCTCGGGCGTCAGGTCCTCAGCCCCCTGCATCCACTTGACGTACGGCATGGGCGAGCCCACTGCCACACAGGTGATGTTCACGTTGCCGCCTGGCATGATCTCGTGACTCATGGGCAAGATGGAGAATCGAGGGGCCACACGGCGCACTGGGGCGGCGGCGGCAGGAGGGAGATGCATAGGGCGGGGAGCAGGACATGGAGGAAACATGAAAGACAAGCAGGAGGAAGAAAGAAAGAAGGAAAGAAAGAAAAAAAGGAAAAGAAAAGCGGAAAACTATTTAAATATAAACAGGGCTGTTGCCTTCCCCCCATTTTTTTTTAAATGAAAGGAAAACAAAAAAACCAAATTAAAGAACCAAATTCCAACACAAAGAAACCAAAACTTCAAAAGAAGATACTTCACAAACAATATAGAGAGATATATCGATATATAATAGAGACATGAAGCATTATCTCATAGCAACAGGGTTTCTGAGACCAGAGTGCCTGGTCACAGCACAGATACGGACACAAAAATTTATCAGCCGTTTCTCATCTTTGCTGACAGACATGGCTTTAGGGAGCAGCTCCTCCGTCCACTCGAGCGGAGGCAGCCACTTTGGACAATGTCGGGAGAATTCTGGCTGCAAAGTGTCAAGGGGTCACGGAAGGGTCCTATTTCCAACCCTCTCTGGTGACCTGGTGATGGGGAGAGGGTAGGTGGTAGGAGGACTTGGGCCTGGGAACTTTGCCCCCACTCTCATCCTCTGTGGGACTCTGGGGCCCCACCTACTTCCCAGGGGCCCTTCAGGAAAAGATGAGAAACTCTAATGAAATTTTTGTGGTTTTTGGGTATAGAAACCCTTCTAAAAGCTTCTGTCGGATCTGACAAGTTTCCATCGATAGATGCAGCTCTCAGAGTCACAAACATCATGCAAAATAGGTTGAGAGAGAGAAAGAGAGAGAGAGGGAGAGAGAGAGAGAGAGAAAGGGAGAAAGGGAGAGAGAGGGAGGGAGAGGGAAAAAGAGGCAATGCGAGGCGGAGGCCTGGAGCTCAAGGGCCTCCAGTGCACGCCCACATGGGTACCAGAGAGAGGAGAGAGGAGAACCGAGAGAAAGGGAGAAAGACGGGAAGACAGGGACAGAGAGGGGGAAGCGAGAAGGGGGGGAGGGGGCCCACTTGAATGCTGCATATTAATTCTAGCGGATGTGACCCAATGTGCATGTCACATTGTCACATCCCAGCCCTGGCAGAATAATAGATCGGATATTGATAATAATAAACGAGGGAATGAACTTGAAAGCTGAAGAAACAGGGACATGTTCTGTGCATTTCTTAGCGGGAAGTGGATGCAGCCTTCGGTCCCAACCTTGCAGACTGTGAAGGCGGCAGGACGCATTTCGGGGGCTCCATTTTCGGAAGTCAAAGGGGTCTTGGGGCAGGGGCAAAGGGGTGGACGCTAACGGGCACTCAGGCTTCCACACGGCACCACTGCCCCATGGGAGCTGCTGGATGGCTGTGGGAGGACTCGGGGGCCAGAAAGGGGTAAAATCGTGGGGCCTAAAAAAGTCACGTGGGGCCAGCCCCTAAGCGTGGGTGAATGAGGTAGGGATTGTTTCCACTGTCACAGATGAGGGGCTGGAAGCTTAGAAAGGTTAAAGGATTCATTAAGGCCATTTAGTGAGGGGAAATGATTCTCTCTCCTCACACCTGCCTCTGATTTTTACATAATATTGGGTTCAACCCCAAGGGGGTGGCTTTAGGGCTCTGGCCTACCCTACAGATAAAGGGAGGATCTCCAACTCCCTCCCCCTTCTAGCCTTGGTTCCTCCTGGAAGCCCCCATTCTCCCTCAATCCTGGCTGGAGGCATGGAAGAGGGGGAGCTCTGTGGAGGGTGGGAGTGGGAGGCGGGAAGCTGGCAGCCCTTCGGAAAACGAAGCCCCACGAAAAGTCCAGAGTCACGTTGGAGACAGGAGGAAGGAAGTGGAAGGTATCACTGGTGGCAGGGAGTCGGGGCGGGGTTGTGGGGAGAGACAGGAGGGGACATGCAGACAAACTGGGGCTAAGGGCCAGTTGGGGAGGGGCTGAGATGGGGGGCTTCCCAGCTGGGCTGGGTGGAAGGTGGAGGAGTCGGGGCGGGGGTGAGAATGGGGTCCGGCCAGCCAGCGGACGTGGTCCTGGCCAGCCGCCGGCATCCACAGCGAGGCACGGGTGGGTGGGATGCCGACGCTGCGTTGCCATGGAAACAGAACACGATGGGGAATGAGCGTGGAGGAGCTAATTAATCGAGGGACAGAAAACGGCATCAACGTCCAAAACAAAACCAGGAAAAACAAATGAAAAAATAAAGCAAAGGAAAAATAAATAAATAAACCTGAGGAAACTAAATGCCAAACAAAATTTCTTTAACACAAAACCCCAAACCCCAAAGCAAGAAGAAAACATGGAATGGGGTGTGGGGCTGAAAATCGGGGTCTGAAAGGAGGAGGGCTGTGGCTTCCCCAGGGAGGTGCCCCCCGGCAGAACACAGGATCTAGCCTTCCCACCTGGCACCCACGAGCCCCAGCTGAGGGTCCGCGGTGACCACAAGGGCAGGATCCTCATGGAGAAAGAACCTTTGGAGCAAACCAACCCAGCCCCACATGAAGCCCTGTCTGTGAAGTCCCAGTGACGCCCTGCCCTGATTTTAAAGCTGGAAAAGATGGGAGGTACAGAAGCTTGAATCACATAGCAAGACAAAGTCCTCAAGACCTGAGACTCCCACAGAAAACCTCCCTGGGCCGGGGTTGACGAGTGGACATGACTAAAAGAGCCCCGTGGCCTTAGGAAGGTCCCGTATCCTCCCGGAGTCTTGGTTTCCTCATCTATGAGATGGGAGCAGTCGGGTGACGTGCTAAGAAAGGCGTACGCCTGACCAGTGTAGCATCCTGCACACAGTAGGGACTCAGTCTAGGCTTATAGATAGCAAGTCTGCTCCCTACTTCCCAGGGTGTTGGGAAATCAGACTCTCTGCCTTAAGGGAGTTGTGGCATGAATTATAGCTTCTTTTTTTTTTTAAAAAAAAGGACACAGTAAGAATTTCCACTGAATTCCCATCTTGCCTTCTCCCTCCCAACAACTTCGAGAGGCAAGTGTCCTTGTGCCTGTCTTGCGGAGGAGGGAAACACAGCTCAGAGAGGTGACAGGACTAGCTGGAAATCACAAGGGAAAGAAAGAAAGTGGTGGGGCGACAGCTCAAAGCCAGGTCTGCTCAATCCCTGCCTCTCAAAAAGTGACCCTTCTCTTACCCCAATCAGTAGGCTGCTGTAGGCTGTGGGAGAAAGCAAGAATTATATCCAGGTGTTCCTTCCTGGCGTCGAGCTCTTTCAAACCTGTGTGTCCTTATCCCCCTGGGACACCAAAGAGGGCAGATGTGCCCATTACCTACACACAGTTCCATCAGGGAATAATGTCCAGGAACCACCGGCTGAATACTATCCAGCAACCCTCATAATAAATGTCTAGAAGCCATCAGTTAAAGGCTCACAGTCTAAGGCTCATTTATAAGGGATTGCTAGAATATATTTTAAGATCTAGCTTTAGCATCTAATAGTTAAACAGGAGCCCAATTTATCCTTTCTGTAAGGCTTAACATCTTGTCTAAAAGACCCTGTTCATGTCTGATCTCAAAATCTCTCTCTTGAGGGGTGTCATCATTTAGAAGGTACCGCTAACTTCTTTCGAGACAAGGCACACATCTTGAATACGTAAGACTTGCCATACAGGGTTGTTAACTATAAGTCAGTTAAATAGAGGAGAACCTTTATCAACAATAGTGACTTCAGGGATCATAATCCCCCACGCGGCCGGCAGCCATCAGTTAAATGATCTGCCAATAAACTGAAAACACAAGCTCTGACACCTGGGGAGCTCTGCCCACTTGCTTTCGCACCTCCCTCATTCCCTTCTAAAGGTGTGTTGTAGGAGGAGGACTGGTTTGCCCCAAGTGTGCGGCGGCTCGGAGCCCTGGGCCTCAGGCGGCTCAGCCGGCTCTGGACGGAGGTGGGCAGGCTGCTGACATTGTGTTCTGGCCCGTTCAGAGCTGACACCCACCCACGTCCGTCTTCCCACCCCCGGCTGCAAGCTTGAGGTGCGGGTTAGAGAGTAAGGTGGGCGCGGAGCCCACGGGACAGAGAGGCCCCGCGGGAGCCCCGCCCCCAATTACCGACCTGAATGGAGGGTCCAGGTGGGTTATAGGGGGACCACACCAGCCTTCATCCTCAGCACGCTCCAGCTGGCTCTCGTTTCCAGCTCTTCTCGTCACCGAGTAGCCGGGGGTCCCAGCGGGGGGACCCGCATGGGTGAGGGGGTCGGGAGGGCGGGCAGTGGGAAGTGGGCGGTGGGGTGGCGGGTTTGGGGAGGGGATGGTCGCTTCAAACCCCGATTCACATGGAAAAACAACTCAAAAACCGTCAAAGCAACCGGGAGACGACCCCTCCCCCAGGCAGGAAGAGGCAGAAACGCAAAAACCAAACGGGGGGTACGGAGGGGAGGGGGGTGGGGAAGAAGGAAGGGAACTTAAAAGTGAGGTGATCTGGCTGAAGCACTAGGTAGGGCACAGTGTCAAACACCTCTACGAGTCAGCAAGCCACAGCTCCGAGGAAGTGGGGGTGGGGCAGGGCTCTGCTGGGCATTTTGGGGCGAGAGGAGATGTTTGGTCCTCCTCCAAACCTCAAAATGAGGATGTGGATGGGGAGGGCAGGGGAGAGATGCCAAGAAGGTTCGCAGCCTCCACGGGGTTTTATTTAAGCTTAGATTACACCTGTCGGGAAAAGTGGGGGTGGGGTCCACGGCCAAATTCCAAAGTTCCATTCTTGAACCCTCCTGTGTCCCAAAAGCCTGAGGCCCAGGGATGGTGGGCTCTGCCCCGAGGGCTGCCCTGTACCTCTTCCTTCCCCTACCCACTCCCCAGCCTTGTCTCCACTGAGACATCCCCCCAGTCCCTGGGCCCCATCCCTGCCCTCCTGCCTCCCCACTCCATCAGGGTCATGTGCACCTGGAGGGACCTGGCAGGGCCCCTGGCCCACAGGCTGACCAGTGGCCTCGGCAAGTCTTTGGTGTTTTGAGCTGGACACCTCGCCGAGCAATACATAGTTTTTCATTGTTAATTTATTTTTTTGTGCAGGGGCAGGAGAGATGCTCCCTCTTTAATTTTTGGTACTAGCGGGAAACTGGGATGATATCTGGTTGCCAATTGACTCCCCCACGCTGTGGCTGCCGGGGACGGGGGGCTTTCCAAATGACAAGGTGTAATCTAATATTTGCCCTCCCCCCCCAAACAGAGGAAACAGCGATGCAGAAAGGTCGGAGGCAGGCAGCAGGCGAGACGTATCAGAGCTCAGTGTTCCTGCAGAACACCCTCCTCCCCGCCGCCCGCCACACCCACGCCACGGGGAGCACCTCTCCCCACTCCTGGAGCCCCTCTCCCCCGGGGATCAGGGTGGGATAAAGAGAAGGGCTGAGTCCTAATCTGCCATTACCTGCCCCCAGGGTCAAGTCAGAGGCTTTGGGGGGAGAGGGGAGATGGCTAAATGTGGTTCAGCAGGAACTGGGGTGCTTGCCAATACACCCCAACGGAGGTGGTTCTGGGAACATGGGAGGTGAGAAGTATTCCGGGTCCAGTATCAATGTCTGTCTGTTTTATGGGGGCCAGGAGGTAAAAAGAATGCCTTGAGGTCACGTCCACCATTTGTAGAGTTTGGGTGCTGAAGTTGAACAGACTATCAGTTTCATTAAATTCTCTTACAGGTTTAAGATCTGAGGACCGGGCCACAAATAAAGGGCTCTGAAGACAATCTGGAAATCACAGTCCCCAGTGTCAGCAGATAGTCAGTCTCAATTTCCCGGCAGAACATTAAGACCTTTAGTGAAATCATTGCAGCCCCATCTGACCTCCTCTAAAACCCTGAAGATCTCCTCACCCAGAAAAACCGAACGCACTGCCATCGAGTTGATTCTGCCTCACAGCGACCCCCTTTGGATTTCTGAGGCGATAAATCTTTATGGAAGTAGATTTGCCCCATCTTCCTTCCACAGAGCAACTGGCGGGTTTGAATTGTCAACCTTCTGGTTAGCAGTCAAATGCCTTAGGCACCATGGCAAATGTCCCCTGAAAGTGGGAAGCTCTCCGGATGTCTCTAACTTGCTTGGAGTTCTCCCTGCATGTTCTTAGGACAACAGGTGAGAGGCATAGCATTTAACCGGGTCAGGTGTGCCATGGTTCAGTAATGGTATGTTGTTAGATTGAGCGCACAAGGCACCATCTTTCAACACTAGCCCCCAAATTTAAAGAGACAAAGAAGAAATTAACAGCCAGCCGGAGTGAAATCCGATCATCTTCTCACCTCGTCAAGAGCTTAAGCTGCATCTTCCCCAGGGGAATTCTGGGAGTGGAACTGTGAAATGCATTTAAAAAAAAAAAAAGGCTTGGTTTTGACTTCGGCCCTTTGGATCCCCGAGATAAGCTTTAGGAGAAGAGCGAATCTGAAGAATCTGAATATTCCGCCTCCAGCTGAGCCACCCAGCTTGGCAGATGCCAAGAGATGTCAACTGAAGGAAGGGTCAGGTTGGGAGTGGGGATTCCTTGCAATTAACTCCCTGACTGGCTGTTCTGACAATAATGTAACACTTAGAGTTGTCAGGGTAGACAAGCCATGTGGCCCATCCATCTCTTCTGGCAGGCTGGTACTTATGTGAAAGGATGGCTAACACTCCAGTTGGGCCTCTGCCTTCGGGTATTCTGGCCCCTGAATTTCCTGGGGGGAATGATAAAGGGTGGGGGGGTGAGATAAGAGTTGTGCCTCTGGGCAGGCCACTGGTCTCATGAGGGTGGGGCTGGAGGCAGGAGAAACAGAGACCATTACCATGGATGAGCTCAGAAAAACACTCGCAGAAAATAAGAACTGGGCTGATGGATTCGCTTCTGCAAGATAATGCTTTGCAAAGCAGTTTTCTCAAATGCCATCTCACTCGAACAATGGGCCCGTGAAGTACACAACAGGGAAACTGAGGCTCCCGAGGAAAGGAAGTGACTTGCCCAGAGCATTTGCTCAAACCCTTTACTTTTCTCATTCCATGACAATCCCACTAGTGATCTCCTACATGCCGTGCACTATGCAGGGTGCGTTAGCTCAAAGATCCTCTTCACCAGCCTGTGAGCTGGGCACACTTATGCTCTCTGTTGTTCAGATGAGGGACTGCGGAGTCAGAGACGTCAAGTGACCAGCCCAAGGTCAAACAGCCAGTAAGAGGTATAGGCAAGATTTGAGTCTGGGTTTCACTGGTTGGAACCCACCACTGTGGGAGAAAGATGAGGTAGTCGGCTTGGACAGCCTGGGAAACCCTATGGGGCAGTTCTACTCTGTTCTCTAGCTCTGAGCTGGAAACCAACTCAAAGGCAGCAGGCGTGGTTTGGGCTTTGCTTCTGTAAAGACTGACAGCCTTGGAAACGCTGTGGTGCAGTTCCACTCTGTCCTCTAGGGGCGCTGTGGGTCAGAATAGACTCCATAGCAGTGGGTGTGGTTTGGGCTTTGCTTCTGTAAAGACTGACAGCCTCGGAGACCTTGTGGGGCAGTTCCACTCTGTCCTCTAGGGGCGCTGTTGAGTCAGCATGGACACCACTGCAATGAGTTTGGTTTTTAGTTTTGTTCTCACTACTAGGGGGTACTGTCCCCAAAATCCAAGTGGTCTTCAGAGTCCTTCGGCCATACCTCAGTTCCAATTCCCAAGGACACAGCCTTGGTGGGGAGGCCCCATGTTTTGGGGCTCTCCCACCCTGAGGGTCAAGGTGGCAGCTCTAGCACTGGGTTCATAAGGACCTAAGAGAAATAAGTCCCCTCTTACTGCATTTAAAATCCTCCTGCTAACTTGGCCTTGGACTTAATCACCGGGAATTTAAAGAAGGTGGTGAGAGACAAGAGGGGAAAAAACAGTGATTCCCAACAGGACAGTCTTCACCCTCAGACTGTCATCTGTGCAGGACAGTGAACTGGGGGCTAGTGATTAGAAATCTAAATGGGTTTTAAATCTGGGGCAGGTTTTTCTTTGGGCTTGGAGTGGGGTTTGCTTCCCTTGGGGAGGGAGGGAAAGGTGGGGGCGTGAATCTTAGGTTTGCAAGAATGAGAGAGACACAGAGAGAAAGGGAGATGAAAGAAAGAAAGAGACAGAGAGAGTCGGGAGGGCAGAGAAGGGGGGAAGGCTGTGTCCATGGTTCCCCTGGGTTTTCGCCAGAATTCCACAGCTCTGACACGCAGGCACTCAGAAAGTGACCGTGCTGGGTGGCTGGACAAAAGACGCCTGCAGCCTGGGCCCAAGAGCCTGAGCGGGGGGGTAGGGGAGCAGCCAGTGTCGCCTGGGAGGTGGAGGCATAGTGCTCCGAGGCAGGAAAATGGGCCAATGATTTTTTTTCCAGAGTCTGTCATGCTACGTTATTTTCTGATGGGCAGTCCTGTACTCGTGCCCAGTTAAGACTCAAAAGTCATCACAGCAGCTGCCATTCTGAGCGCTGACTATATGCCAAGCAAGCATGGCCCAGGGAAGATGGTGCCCCCATCACCCCCCATTTTAAGCTGACCACTCCCGCAGTTGGATGTGTCACCATATTGGATGTGAACTCAAAATGCTGCCCTTCAAATGCCTGCACTTCAAACACCCTTTTTTTTTTTTTGGTTTGTTTGGGACAGTGGGAAGTGGTCTCAGGCTGAGGATGAAGGACAGGAACACACCTGCTTGAACCCCCTTCCAACATGGCCGCCCTGGGAGGCTGGAGGCACAATCTCCAGGAAAAGGAAGGTGGCCACTGAGGTCAGGCAAATTGGGCTGCTCTCCCGACTCACCCCTCCCAGGCTCTGGCTTCCTGCCATCCGTTTGCGTCCCCCTCCCTTGTGCTCTGATGCCCTGGGTGGTCACTTTCTGCCCCAGCATCCCAGCTGTGGGACCCTTCCGCCCTCCTGGATGGTAGTCGGACAGGAACACTGGCTTTTGAGTCACAATGCGTTTGAAGAACAACCACGTAACAGCTCAGCCCAAGAAACCGAAACCAAACAGCACAGAAAACACAAGACAGAACCAAAGACGAAACGCTTTGGGGGGAGGGGAAACGGGGAGGGAGACGGGAGGGGAAAAAAAAACGAACGAATCGGTTTTTTCCCCCCAAAATGAAACCAAAGGAAAAAAATAAAAAGAAAAGAAAAGAAGAAAGAAAGAAAAAGGAAGAAAACCGGAATGGAAGACAAGAAACACTCCAACAGAAGGCGTCGGGAATTCACCAAACCAAACCGGCAAGAGTGGCATGCAGAGAGATTTTTACATTCTTCCAGCATGCATCAGGCCCAAGTTACCATGACGACGAGGAGTGCAAAAAACTTAGCAACAACATTACCAACGGATGCAGAGAGGCGACCACAATGCAAGCATCGCATGTGTACGGCCGGCCCTAGGCCAGGCTGGGCGCGGCTGAGATTTTCGTGTCTGTCTGGGTTTTTCTCTCGCTTGGCGGTTTTTTGTTTGTTTGCTTTGCGCTTATTATTCATATTCCAGTTCTTTTTGTTGTTGTTGTTGTTTTCTGTTTTTCCGTGTGCGTGTCTGCGTGTGTCCATGTGAGTGTCTGAGTGCGTTTCGTGTCTGTGCGTGTCATTTTCCAGAATGTAAAAATGTGGGTAAAGAAAGTAAAAAAGAAAAAAACACACCAACCTTCTCGAAGCTCTGAGGGATGTAAAGGGGGTTTGATGCGGAACACAATGACATGGGGAGAAGAGAAAAAATAGGGGAGATACAGAGAGTAAAAAGAGGACTTCCCAAAGCTACAAGCTGCAATTGTTTTTTTTTTTTTTTCTCTTTAAACCAAAAAAAGAAATTAAAATTAAAAAATAAAAAGAACAGCAAAGACCTTTTTTTCTATCCTCCACTCTGCCCTCGACATACGAGATCCATGATTCTTTTCTAAATTCAATTTGGAGAGTCTGAAACCCAGGCAACGATGAGGAGGCTGGGTCTAGCCCCCTCAACTGCCCCCAAAAGGAAGGAGGCTCACACTAGGCCCCCCTCCAGGGGCTGAGGACACAGAAGGCCCCCCACCCTGCTCATCCTCCTGCAAGAGGCTCCACCCCCCGCCCTGCCCCACACCTGCTGTCCACGCTCGCTCTTTGAACCCTGCCAGACTTACAAATCCCCATTCCAGGTGTTTGCAGAGAAATAAGTAGGTTAGGCGGAGACCAGTCAGTCGGAGACAGAGCGCAAGGTAACTCACCAGAGGTGCCGTGGTGGTGGCCCCAGACGTGCCTCTGCCCACCCCAATGCCCACATCCTCACCCTCCCCAGCCAGCCTCCTCCTCAGAGGCCAGATACAAAACCCAAGGTCCAGAACCAACGAGTCGCTCGGGGTCCGTGGGAACCGCAATTGGTGGGGACCAAGAAGGTGAGGTCTGTGGGTGGCTTCCCCAGTGGATGACTGACAAGGACTAGGTGTGTCTAAGCAGGGAAACAGGCCAGACGGCGAGTGTGATTGGTTTTAACGAACCAATAGGGGCAGGGCTGGGATTTGAACCAGGCCCCCTTGGCGTCCTGGTGGGAGCTCTCTCTACCCCAGACTTGATCAGAAACAGCCGTCAGGAGGAGGGATGGGGCACAAACAGGGGGGAGGAGGTATCTTTGCGTGTCAGAAAAAGTCGGAGAGAGCAAACACGGGACAAGGGGTCAATGCCACCCTGGTGCCACCCTGAGGGACCTGGAAGGAAGTCTGTGTAAATGCTGCCCTGACTTCCCTGGTGGGGGAGATGCTGGGGCCGGGACCCCGGCTCCCTGGCATGATCAATGGGAACTGAAGGCCAGGAGCAAGGAGCCTTGCTGGCGTGCTGTGCCGGCCTTGGACTGCCAGCACCACCAAGACCCCATATCCACCGTGCCTGCTGTGACCCCATCTCACCTGGGCCTACCAGTGTCCCTTCCTAAGAGACACTGAGAGAAACAGAGCACCAGGCTCTAGGGCAGCCCACGGCGTGGGGGCCGGCTTCTAAGACCCACCCCCACCAGCACGTGGATGGAGGGGACTCAAGGGGGGCGGTGAAGCAGGGAGCTACTAGGCCACGGAGTTCGGAGAAGCAAAGCCAGCAGACGACAAGGGAGACACAACACATCACAGAAGCCGACTCAGGCGGGCGGGGCGGGGCCGAGGCCTGCAGGCTCCCCCGGCCCTGTAGGCCCAAGACTGACCTTCCCTCTGCCCCGCCCCGCTCCCTCCTGCCCAGCAGTCACTGCCTCCCCCAAGTCCCACTACCCACGGGGCATCCACAGCACAGCATGGGGCGTCTGACTGCCCCCACTTTACAGGCAGGGAGACTGAGGTCCAGAGAGGGCTGCTGCCTCCTGACCGACCGGTGGGGCCTTCCTGCTCGGGTCTGCAGGGGATGGGGGAGCCCAGAGGCTGTAAGCCCGAGGAGGGAAGGGGCAGGACGGGGCGGGTCCCTGCCTTCCACGTGGCTGTGGCGATGGTCCCTACCTCGCACGTAGAGGTTGGCGGGCGAGGAGTAACGCACTCCGGCGCTGTTGGTGGCCACACACTCGTATTTGCCCTGGTCGGTCTCCTCGCTGCTCTCGATCTGCAGGGCCCCTGTAGGGAGAGGGGAGAACGCCTGGCCAGTCAGGGGCGTCCCAGTGTGGGCGAGGGCTACCCCCAGTCCCTTCTGTCCAAGCTCGAGAGGAAAGAGTGAGTTAGCCTAGAAACCCCAGCCGGGCCAGGGACCCTCTGGTTCATCTTCCCCCAACCCCAAGCCTGGCCCTGAGCTTGTCTGAACACACTTGAATCCTCAGCAACCCCCGCCCCCCACACGCAGGAAAGGCAGCCAATCATGTGGCCGGGAAAGCGTGGCCACTGACGAGCGCTCGTGAAAGGGCTTGAGTGGCGCTCTGCAGGTGACAAGGACAGAGCGAGCTGGCACTCAGGCCTACTGCAGTCAGATCTCAAGACTCGGGGACATCCAGGACCACCATGAGTGATGTGCAAACTCAGGAAGCAGGCGGGGGCTTGGCTGGTGTCAACCAGTGCCCGTATGTGAATAAACGTGGGTCTGAAATCCTCATGTTTGTCTGAGATCATCGGCCTCAGAGCCCCTAGTTCCTGTAAGTAAATGGAGGCAGGGTTGAACATCTTCAAGGTGTCTGGAATTTCCGAGCTGGGTTTACACCCATGATAGCTAGCTAAGGCAAAGGACACAGAACCCTGAAATGTGGCCAAGCATATTAGAAATTGAACATCCAGCTCAAAGCTTTAGGTGCCTGAAACTAATCGCTGAGTCTGAATGTCCTCGGGCACTGGAACTCAAGTAAGAAGACTGGATTCACCCACGTGTTGAAAACCATAGGCTGGAGTCAAGAGCCGGGTAATGGGATGAACTTCTCCAAGTGTGTTTGAAATTACGGTCCTAGATCCCGGCCCACGGTGCTTATGGGTAAATGAGGATTAGACCGAATTTTCAATAGAGTTTGAAGTCACAGGGCTGGGTGGAAGTCTCTAACAGACACAAGTCAGGCTGATGTCAGAATGCCCCAAGTGTGTCTGAATTTGTCACGATGAATGAAGATGAGGCCGTTTCTCTCAAGCGTAACTGAAAGTCACAGGAACCAGAGGTCTTCGTGCCCACGAGTAAATCAAAGCAGGCCGATTCCCGTCCTCCCCAGCACGTTTGATAACACGGGCCCAGATCAAACACTTGCCTTCTAATGAATGTACAGAAATGAATGAACCGGCCCGAGAAGAGTCGAAAGGAAGGATTTGGTTAACCCTTTAGTGCCCATGAGAAAATGAAAACGAGGCCAAGATTTCCCCCAAGGATATCTGAACTGGCAAGCCTGGAACAAGTCCTCATTTCCATACATAAATGCAGCTGAGTGAGAACTTCTAAGGATGTCCGAAATCACAGGATAGAAGGCATCAGTACCCATGAATAATTAAAAACGAGGCCAGGGTATTTGAAATCACGGGCCTGGCTCAACTCCTGTTTCCTAAGTACATGAAACTGAGTGAGGATCTATAAATATGAGGGAATCACGGGCCTAGACCAGAGGCTTGGTTGACCAGAAGTCAATGAATACGGGTGTGTGAATCGTAGGCTTTGATGAGCCCCTAGCACCACAAGTTCAAGTTCTAGTTCAAGTTCTCAAGGAGATCCCTCTTTCCCAGCTTTGCTCATGAATGTCCCATGGAGGGGACATGGACCCGCAGAACTGAATGCTGGCCCCAACCACAAGGAGGTTCCCTCTGGGGACTGCAGATGAAGGTTCTGGCCCCATGGAAATGCTTCCTACTTGTGCCTAACCTCAAGGCTGTGGAGAAGCGAGCGTGTCGGTGTCACTATAGAGGCCCAGAGAAGGCAGGAGGTCTGCTCTAGGACACACAGCATTTCATAGCAAAGCCATGGCGAGATACTGGGTCCTGGCTCCCACTCAGGCCTCTTCTAGTTTCCTTTCCAGGGCAGCACCAGGCGCCAGAGTTAGATCTGGCCTTTGAAACCTGAACTTCGGGCTGGAGCCCCACCCCGCAACAAAGTCAGCGATCAGGAAGAACCAGAAGCCCCCACCCCCACACTGCCACTTTACAGACGGAGAAACCGAGGCTGGGAACAGACAAGAGCTTTTGTCCAGTGTAACGGTCAGAAACCTGGCTCCTGGGCCTCTGGGTGGGTGTGGGAGGTGTTGTTCCTTCCCAGCACCCAGGCACCCCGAGAAGTCACCCCCGCCACACTCAGCACCCCAGCCATGGAGAACAACACAGACATGGAGACTGGACAGACACCAGGCAGGAGGGCAAGGAAGGGTAGACACGTGGAGGGGGCTGGGGCCTAGGGGGCTGAGTGGGCAGCTGGAGAGCGTGAGTGGGTGGGTGAGTGAGGAATGCGCCTCTTACCTCGGATCGGAGTACTTTCTGTAAGGGAAGCAGAGAGAGTCAGGTGAAAATCAGATGGCAGTTCTGAGGGCCCACGAGCCAGGCCACTCTGCCCACAGGGGCCGAGCCTGCCCTGGGCCTGTGGACCCTGAAGGCCTGGCCGAGATAGACAGGGGCGAGGCTCCTGGGAGCAAGACAGGGTCTGAGGGCTTGCCAAGCAGGAGGGCTTCCCACAGGAGGTGGGAGTTCAGGAGGCGGGGAGCTGATTCTAGAAGCTTCTATGCCCTGGGAAGACCAGTTGGCCTGGCCTGGCCCTGTGTGCTGTCATCCCTCTGGGCCCAAGGGAGAGAGGCCCACAACCTCTCTTCCTTCTTTCCTTTTTGGGGGCCCAGCAAGGGGCTGCTTTCAAGTCAGCGGCAGGAGAGACAGGGACAGTGGGGTCTTGTTAGACAGGGAGAGAAGGGTTAGTGGCCCAGGGCCAGGGATTAATAAAGCAGAGGGAGGGGGTTACACACAGGCCGGGGGGGGCAGGGAAGGGTGGTGATGGGGGGCCCACAGCAGAGCCTTCTTAAGTTCCAGAAGGTTCTTCTAGAAGGAAAAGAGGAAAGAGGTGTCTGTCCATCCATCTGGGCTATGGAGGCAAGGACAGCTGGGAGGTGAGGAGCCAGGAGAAAAAAAAGGCCTGGGACTGAAGTCTGACACCATCAGCTCATCTTCTTGGAGTGGGCTGGGCTGAGGAGATCGGGGCCTCCTTCTCGCCACTGATAAGAACCCAGCCAAGAAAACGCAGGCTCCCTCCCTGTGATGTGTTCCAGCTCCATTTCACAGACAGGCTCACTGAGGCCCAGAGGGGCTGAGGAACTATCTGAGGTCACATCAAGAGCCAGAGTCTGGGGTGGGGTTTGAACTTGGCTCTCCAGCCTCCCAGCTTAGGGACCCTGTAGCCGGCACTTTGTTGGCCCCATACACACCTCGCTAAATCCTCAACCCCATGAAGGCACTCTCTGTGTTTAAAACATGATGGAATGGGATATGGCTGCGGTCACACCATGACTAATCGGAATCCAGGCTGGCCCCTGCTCTGAACCATTTTACTACGCTTGGTTTATGATGGTGGAAACCAGGGGCCAAGAACCTGGTATTCCAAATACTGCATGGGGCCATCACACTGGGCAGAAAGGAGATACTTCTTAGGTACCAAAGGTGGCTCTGTTTCCCATCCTGGGGAAGATGAGAAGGGACTACTGTGTGTCAGTATCAGTCACTCTCACTTTAGTAAGAAGTAGCCCAGCAGTCGGTTTCACGTGATTCGGGCTGGATGCTGGGAAAAGAGGGTGCAAAACATGCAGCACCATCTCAGCTAGAAAATCCCACCCACCCAACCCTGGACCCAGCCCCCAATCTCTGCCATTAAACCCTTCTCTAGTCCCAGCCCCAGGGTCCAGCCAGCCCCTCCTCGCCTTGTCATTTTTCCTCTTTTCCTTCTGGGCTCCTGTCTGCTTGGTGCCCCACTAGGGAGGGCTGGGTGACCAGTGGGGGGAAGGCGTTAGTGAACATGCCACGCAGAATGGGTCACAGTTACTGTCACGGTGGCTGTTAGTCTTGGGGATGGAGAGAGAAGGGCGGCGGGGGGAGAGGGAAAACAGGGGACGTTAGTTGTCGACATGTTCAAGAAATCAGACTTACCAAAGGTTTCTGAACGTTTACAACAGAGGGACAAAAAAAGAGAACAGGAGCGTTATCGGCTGGTTCCCTGGAAGCGTGTATCCTCATGGGGTGGGGGAGGGGAGGAGGGCAGTCAGACGCCAGGCTCTGTCATTGACTAAGGGAAGCGGCTGAGCAGTCAGGATGTGCCAGACTTTCCAGCGTGGGCATCCCCAATGCTACGGAACAGGTACATCTGACAGGGAAACCGAGGCTCAGAGAGGGGGCCGAACCCTGCGGCCCACCGGATCAATGGTCATGGTGGCCATGCTCAGAATCCTCTCCTGCCCTTGGGCTCTGATGGTGCACTGGGTCCCCAGGTTGATGCTGCTCCCCTCATTAAACATCCCGAGCTGCAAGCAGCCTCAGGGAGGTGGGGGGGTGACTTTCTTTCCAACATAAGCAAGATCTGGGTCTCCCCAGGAAGGAGACTCTGAGCTCCATGGCTGCCCTCTTACAGGGAGTGAGTCTCTACTGAGGGGAACAGGGGTGGGTGGGCAGGCTCCTCGGAGGACAAGGTGAGGGCCAGTGAGGGGTGCTGGGGACAGTTGAGAGGCCTGCTGATAGGGGTGGCTTCCAAGGCAGGGTCCTCAGAGCAAGAGGAGGGAACAGAGAGGTATTTGAGCTGTTGTGTGATTTTCAGTGAGCCTGAACAGGGGCAAGGCCTCAAGCTGTTAATGGTGGAAAAAATAACTCTATGACCCAGACACACACAAACACATGTGTTCACATGTAGAGACACACATGCACGCATACGGACGTGTCCCTACCACACATGTGTCTGCACACACGAGTACCAGGGAAGGACATGTGGAAACGTGTGCACATGGGGGACTGCCCTGCGTGCAGGCATATGTGGGGACCTAAATACAGGTACATGGATGGCTGAGACACACACACGGACAAGCTTTGCCCCAGCAGGGGGAAGGCAAACGCCTGTGTGCCATGGCCTGGGCTGCACACACGTGCTTACAGGTGGGAAGCAGGTCAGGCCAACACAGGGAGCCTAGATACACACACATACCCACACGAACATGTCACAAGGCAGCAGCTGACAGACATAAGGCAATCACACTTCCATAGACAGCTGGCCTTGCAGATGGGGGGACACGTGGACGCTAGGCCAAGACACAAGTGTGGAGCCACTCATCCCCAAAGTGACCAAGGCCTGCTGCTTTGTCCCAAGGTCCCCCTAGCCCAGGCAGGGCCGGGACACACAGGCTCCATCTGTCTGTCCAGGGCCTCACCACACTCCGAAACTTCCACGGCCCTCCCTCACCTCTTCCTGACTTTGCTCCATTACATCCTCATAGCTTCATCACTGGAGACACTCTCTCCCTGTAGCTCTCTAGGGCTCTCCATCTCTTTACCTGTCTGTAGCCCACTACATCTCTTATGGACATGTCCAGCGCTCCAGCACTAGAAATACCCTCTTGTCATTGCCTTATGTGGTCCCCCTGTGCTCCCGTGTATGCCCCTACTGTACCCCACTGGACATACCTACTGCATGCTCTCCCACTGCCACCCTCCACGACTCCCTATTACCTTGACTACCTACGTCCCATTTTATACTAAGTGGTTAGGCATTCAGATGCTCTCTCCCTCACTACTGTCCATGGCTCTAGTCACCTCTGCCTTTGTCCCCCACTTTGTCACCACTGCTAGGGCACTGCAGACACCCATCGTCCTCTGCAGCTTCCCATCAAATGAATTGTCTGCATCTCATTATGACCCCACTGCTTGGGTGCTGGAGACACTCTTCCTCTGTAGCCTCCTGTGGCTCCCCATCTCTGTGCCATTATACCCTCTGGGAGGCGATGGAGAATTCTCCTCCCACTACCATCTTCCATAGCTCCCCATTACTCCCTGCCTGTCAATGCCCCAGCTTCGAGGTCACCCTCCCCTGCCTCCCAACGTCCACATGGCTCTGCCTCTCTGTCCCGTTACTCCCCAGGGCTTGAGCGCTGGAGAGGCCTCCTCCACCTGCTGCCCTCTGTGGCCCCCACATCCTGCAGGCCACCTTCACTCACCTGACCGCAGCTGCTTGATGCGCCCATTGCTGGCACTGGGGTCCACAGGCAGGAAGTCCTTGAACCAGGTGATCTCGGGGTCAGGGTTGCCACTGGCGGCACAGAGCATAGTGGCCGTCCGTGTCCGCTCCACCACCTTCAGCTGGGGGCCCATGTCAATGTTGGGGAAGCCGGGGGGCAGCTGGTCCTCTGTGGGCAGAGACGGGGGACACAGGGCAGAGGCCTGGTTATCACACGGCCATCCCTCCAGCCTCCCTCAGCCTGTCTCCTCTGTTGAATGGGGAGACGCTCTCTTACCTGACAGGGATGCTGGGAGCCATCAGGCTGGGTCAGAGGTTCCACCAGGGGTGATTCTGCCCCCAGGGGACAAAGGGTTATGTCTAGAGACATATATGGGCGTCATGAACGAGGTAGGGGGTACTACTAGCATCTAGTGGCTAGAGGCCAGAGGATGCTGCTCAATACCCTACAGTGCACAGACCACCCCACCCCAGAGAATGCTCGGCTCTAAACTGACTAACTTCATCAGCGTGACACCTTCCAGGTTCATTCACGTTCTGAGCTGTTTCACAGGCCCGTCGTTGTTCTTGAACATTACACAGTATTCTGTGTGTGTATGGACCATTTAACTAAGTACCTCCTACCACTGAATCTAGAAAACTCCTCCTGGGCTGCTGTCAGCTGCTGGTGAGTCGGCTCCCATACGATGGTGACCCCAAACACAATGGAAGGAAACGTGGCCTCGGCCTGTGTCCCTGTGATCAGCCGCAGAGTGGACCACTGTGACCCACAGGGCTCCCACGGGCTGATCTTCACAAGTCAATCGCCAGGCCTCTCTCCCTGCCACTCCTAGCATGGCAGCTCAGCTACAACCTCCACAGCATCTGAGCAACACGCAAACCCCTGTGGACAGACGGGTGGTGGCTGCACTGGCCGGGAATCGAACCTGGGGTCTCCCGCACAACAGGTGAGAATGCTGTGAGTGAACCACCAATGCCTCCACTGTACTGTAACAGACCACAATAAACAAACAAAAACCCTGCTGCTCTCAGGTTAATTCTGACTCACAGCGATCCTACACAACAGAGTACAACTGTCCCATAGGGTTTCCAATGCTGTCGTCTTTACAGAAGCAGACTGACACATCTCTCTCCCACAGGGTGGCTGATGGATTCAAACTGCCGGCCACTGGGTTGGCAGGCGAGTGCCTGACCACTGCACCATAGGGCTCCTTGTTCTGTAGCACAGTAAGATCAATTTTCCCAATATTAACTAAGCTTATCTTTTTTTTTTCCTGCTAGCTTTTCATATAAACAGCTTTCATGTTTTTCACTTTTTTTTTTAACCTTTCCCTTCACCCAAATTAATATGTGTCGACCTTCCAGTTAATGGTTTACCCTCCTTCTTCACCTACCCCTGGTAACTATCAGAGAATTCATTTTGCGTGTGTGTACGTGTAACCCTTCTCCTGACTCTTTTAAACAGTGGTCTCATACAATATCCGTCCTTTTGTGATTGACTAATTTCACTCAGCGTAACGGTCTGCGGGTTCATCCCTGTTCTCAGCTGTTTTCACAGGTTCGTCATTGCTCTTGAATGCTGCTCAGTATTCCATTGTGTGTATGGACCATTTAACTAAGTACCGCCTACCACTGACGTCTAGAGCAGTGGCTCTCACCTGGGACGATTCTGCCCCCAGGGAACACTGGCAATGTCTAGAGACATCTGTGGTTGTCACACCTGGTGGGGAAGTGATACCGGCATCAAAACAGGTGGAGGCCAGGGATGCTGTCCAACACCAACTGCACAGGACAAATCCATCCCAGAGAACAATCCAGCCCCCAAGTACTCACGAGGCTATGCAACAGTGGGTTCACTTACAGCAGCTGAGAGAGCCTTTCCAACATAAGATGGACCACACTCCTCCCCTGCTACACTACCTCCTGTGGCTCCCCACTGCCTTCAGGAGAAACCTACTCCTCACTGCCAGCGGGCCTGACCCAGCTCATCGCACACCGTACTCCTCTTCTTGTTTTTTTCCTGCATAGCCACGCTGGCCTGCCTGCTCCCGAAGGTCAATGGCTCCTTTCTGTGTCACACATCTGCCGCTCCTTGGCCTTGAACGCCTGTACCCTCCTCCACTTACTTATCCAACATTGCCTTAAAATAGCTCATCCCCTCCGGGGCTCGGGCTCGGAATCACTTCTCCAGAGCATGTTTCTGCCGGGTGTGGTCGAGTCACTTCCGACTCATAGTGGCTGCCATGGGACAGAGCAGAACTGCCCCATCGGGCTTGCTAAGCTGTAACCTTTACGGGAGCAGACTGGCAGGTCTTTCTCCTGTAGACCTGCGGTTAGATTCAAACCACCAACCTTCTGGTTAACAGGCCAGCGCTTACCCATTGCACCACCAGGGCTCCTGTCTCCAGAACACACAGCTCTGGTTACAATTATACATCCCAGACAGAAGGCTCCTTAGAAGCGAGAACGGCCAGACTTTGTCTCTTATACTTTGGTCATGTTGTCAGAAGGGACCAGTCCCTGGAGAAGGTGGAAGATCAGCCAAAAAGGAGAAGGCCCTCGATGAGATGGACTGACGCAGTGTCTGGGACAATGGGCTCAGGCATGGCAATGATTGTCATGACGGTGCAGGACCAGGCAGTGTTCTGTTCTGTTGTACATGGCATCACTATGAGTTGAAACTGACTTGACAGCAACTAACAACAGCAGTACCCCCATGTCCCTAGCACCTGGGGCCAGGCAGCACACAGTTTAAAAAAAAAAACAAAAAAACACCTCACTGCCACTAAGTCAACTCTGACTCACAGCCACCCTATAAAAAAAGTAGAACTGCTCCAGAGGGTTTCCAAGTCTGTCATCTCTACGGAAGCAAAGCCCAAACCAAACCCACTGCCGAGGAGTCCATTCTGACTCACAGCGCCCCTAGAGGACAGAGTGGAACTGCCCCACAGAGTTTCCAAGGCTGTCATCTTTATGGAAGCAAACCAAAACCAAACCCACTGCCATCAGTCGATTCCGACTCACAGTGACCCCACAAAACAGAGTAGAATTGTCCCATAGGATTTCCAAAGTGTAAATCCTTACAGAAACAGGCTGCCTCGTCTTTCTCCCTTGGAATGGCTGGTGGGTTCAAATTGCTGACCTTTTTGGTTAGCAGCCAGTTGCTTTAGTCACTGCACCACCGGGGCTCTTTGGCACATAACATGTGCTCAATAAATGAATGACTGGCTCAATCACAGTTGCTGTCAACCCGTGAGGGACACTGCCTCTCTAACCCTGTCTCCTTGTTCCCCAGCCAGGCTCTGGCTTCCTTCCATGGGTAAGGGGTGAGCTATGAGAGAAGACAGACAGCCCTTCCCAGAAACTGCCAGTCCCTGAATTCCAGCAACTGGTGGCCTCGGTGATCTGTGCCTTGGGAGCTGCGGGAGTGTGGTGCAGGCTGAGGCAATGAGGCGGGCTGGGTAATGGGCGGGCTCCCTCCATTCAAGCACTCTGCAAACCATGATTACGGGCTCCGTGGCCTAATTTAGCCAGAGTTGGCGCCAGGGCAGGGGAGGCGGCTGAGGGCCTCCCAGACAGTCTCATGGGCTCCCATGCCCGTCCTCTGCCTTTCCAGAGTCTGTACTCCAGGCCTCTCCTGCTCTGACCCCTAAACCTCCAACTCTGCCCTGGGCTCTCCCCTGGGCCAGGTGATGACAGAGGACCCCCCCGGAGGGCAGCTTCCTCAGCACAAATTCAAATCAACCACTAGAAATCCCCCCATGTCGCCCCTGCTTCACGAGGGGTGACAATGAGGTAATGTGTATGGTGACCACCACGTGACGATCTGGATAAGGCAACACTGTAAGGAAATTGCTGTTGAATCAACCCCAACCCCTGGCGACCTCACACGTGTCAGCGTGGGACTATGCACCACAGGGTTTTGAATGGTTTGGGTTTCTTTTTTTTTTTTTTTGGAAGGAGATGGCCAGGCCTTTCTTCAGAGGCACCTCAGGGTGCCTTTGGGTTAGCTGCTGAGTGCACTGACTGTCTGCAACCAATACAGATAGTGAAAAAGATCAGCAGTTGCCTGGGGTTGAGGCAGAGGGCAGAAAGGATAGATGGGGGAACACATGGCATTTTCAGGCCATCAACTATTGTGAAAGGTCCTGTAATAGACACATGGCAAGATGCATTTGTCAAAACCCACAGGACTGAACATCACCAAGAGTGAGCCCTCATGTGAACTATGGGCTTGAGTTAATAATAATGTATCATTTTGGTTCAGGGATTACAATAACTACACACACAAGGGAAAGAGGTGTGGGGGGAGAGGAGGTATACGAGAACTCTGTTCCTTCTGCACAGTCTTTCTATAAGCCTAAAACTGCTCTAAAAAAAATTGTTGTTGTTTGCTATTGTCAAGTCAGCCCCTGACTCAGGGTGACCCCCTTGCACAACGGAACAACACAGTGCCCAGTCCTGTCCGTCCCCGTGACGGGTTGCAGATTGGACCACTGGGATCTGGGGGTTTTCCTTGGCTAAGTCTGGAAGCTGCAATGTGTTCAGCACCCTAGCAACATGCAAGCATCCACGGGCAGATGGGTGGGGGCTGTGTGCGATGCATTAACTGCGACTCATACCCAGGTCCCCCATATGAAAGCTGTCTCTACCACTGAGCCACCACTGTCCCTCCAAAAAAATAACTAATAATATTTTTAAAGAAAGGTGACAATAGTTGAAAATGCTTACAATAGTAAATTTTATATATATACAAACAAAAGACAAGTGAAATTATATTCCAGGAGAATTTCTTTGCACAACTCTTAATACACCTGGCTGTTCTCCCAGAAAACAAAACCAAAACAGAAAAAAGTAGTAATTCACGGTGCTGGTGAGACTGAAGAGAAATAAACCCTCTCACCCACAGTTGGTAGGAATCCTTCTTGTTACAACTTGCACCAGGATGTAACAATTTGGTATCATTCACACAAAGACCCCTGGCCCCTCAGCTCAACATCTGCAGTCTACATGCTCCCTTGCATGAAAAGAGGGCAGTACTGAGTTATTATCCCCCAGGCACTTGCCAGAACAGCAAAAGGCTGGAGATAACTAAACATCAGTCAATTGGGGACTTGTTAAACGGAGGCGGGGCCAACATGAAACACAATACTGAAGAAAGCAGCAATCGTCTTTTACAAATTTTGGAACAATTTCCAAGATACAATGCTCAGTGGAAAAAGTTCAAAGTGAAGGATGGTGTCAGACCAAGGGTCACTGACCACGGTCCTGAGGGCCAAATCCAGACCACATCTGCTTTGTTAATAAAACTTTATCAGAACACGGCCATGTCCATTTGCCTATTCTTTGCCTATGGCATCTTTCGTGCTACGATGGCAGAGTTGAGAGGTTGCAACAGAGACTGTCTGGCTCACGGAGCCAGAAATACTTACTCTCTGGTGCTTTGCAGGAAAAGTTTGCCAACTTCTGGTGCAGACAGTGCCACTGTTTGTGTAGGACGGAAACAATGTACGAGTACTCGTGTACAATGCCCAGGAGGGGCATGCGGCACAGGATTAGGCAGCTGGGGACAGAGAGGCCAACTTGGGAGGGGACAGAAGGTCATGATGGATCAAGAGAGCTATGGTTGTGTGGCCCTGGGGTTTGTGTATGGAGGGGAAAAAAATCACCCAGCCCCAAGTCCCAAACACCAACTACCTGCCAGGTACTGGACTGGCATCCTTCCATTCCCTCACTATCCTCCTCAGAGATGCAGTCCAACATACAAATGGGGAAACTGAGGCTCGGGCCAGCACACATCTGCCCTAGGTCCCCTAGCCAGACTTCACTGGGGCTGGAATTTGAACCCAGCTATAATCTGGTCAGGTTTCTAGCTGGCACAAATGGTCATGTGTTCAACTACTAACCAAAAGGTTGGCAGTTCAAATCCACCCAGAGGCACCTCAGAAGAAAGGCCTGGCCATCTACTTCTGAAAGGTCACAGCCTTAAAAACCCTAGGAACAGTTCTAATCCAAACACGTAGGGTGGGGTCACCATGAGTCTGAATCAATTTGCTGGCAACTAACAACAGCAAATGGCTGTGCCCACAGGAAGCTAAGGCGGTCTGGCTGCAGAGTCTTGAAACCAAGTCTGGACACAGCAGGGGTCAAAGTGGACCCTGGCCGAGGTCCTTTAGGCGCCATTCTCCTTCCTCAACTCAAGGCTGGACTAAACCCATAGCTGGCTCTGACTGGCTACCGCTGACGTCACTGGAGGTTTCTCAAAGAGGGCCTGGGTTTCTGTCTGCGTGCGGGCTCTGGTCCCTGTATGTGCCATGTGCACATGCGTATGTACACATGTCTCGGTAGGTGAGTTCTGCGTGCATGGGCCCTTGTGTGTGCGTGGGTCCTTGTGTGTGCACGTGTCCTGCGTGCTGCCACCCTGTGATGTCTCTGCACTCCCCCCACGCATACACGCACGCACCCCCAGTGTGTACGCAGCCCTGTAGGGGGCCGGCGCATATGTGGGTGGCAGCCAGCGGGGCGGGGAGCCACAGTGCAAGGGGCGGGGGGATGGCCGTGGCTCCTAATTAAACAAAAATGTTCATCGCGGCCCACATTGTGCCCAATTCCTCAGAGTTTAATTAAAACAACAGCGCAGGAGGCGTGCACAGGGTCCGCAATCAGATGGTGGAGATGCGATGAAGCACGGAGTGCCGGGAGCCGCCCGGAGCAGCTCAGCCTGGGGGGGTCTCAGGCCACAGGACCTAGGATGAGCGTCCCCTCCCCCCCACCCACATGACACTCCAGTCCCTCCACTCCTTTCAGAGCAGCCAAAGAACAGAGGAAGAGGAGGGGCCCTGATGGGGGGCAGGGAGGGGAGAGGCTGGTCCTTCCCAGCCTCCCAGGGATGGGCGCTTAACAGATTCACAGCTTGTTCTTTTAACTCCTGAGCTCTCAGGACGGCGCCTGGCTCCAAGCACACAGAAGGCAAGCTGTGAGGCCTGCGCTGGAGAAAGGTCAGGGCAAAAATATCTGCTGGGAAGAGGGGGGCAGGGCGTGCAGCTCCTCCTCACCCCCCCCCCTTGTCTTTTCTGGCAGGGACTTACTACGGGATTTGCCTGGCCCAAGGCAAAATGAAGGCATCCCTGGGTGGAGCAATCGATTAAGGGCTTGACTACCAGCCAAAAGGTTGGCAGTCTGAACCCACCCAGAGGAATTGCAGAAGAAAGACCTGGTAATCTGCTTCCACAAGGTCAGTGCCTTAAAACCTCTATGGAGCAGTTCTACTTGGCACATGAGGGGTCACCAAGAGTCTGGCTCGACTGGAGGGCAAGTAACAACAAAGTGTAAAAATGAAACTGTGGGGTGCCTGGTTCAAAACCGTTAGGAATTTCTAGCTGGCCACAACAAAGCATTAAACCAAATGAGGGGGACCCTTAAGGGTGCAGGGTCCTTTCTGAGTGCACAGGTCACATGTCTATAAAGCTGTCCAGGTCCATGGGCCTAGGGGGTGGGACAAAGTACCCCAGGGGCAGTTATGACACTTCCTCCCAGTAGTACCCTGCCCCGGACATCGAGAGAACCCCACCAGGGGGAGCACAGGGAACAGCAGGGTGTAGCTCACACCCACGGATTAGAGAGGGTCTGGCTGTACCTGTAGGTAACAGGCAGAACCCACACACCTGAGGGCTGCAGAAGGGCTGGCCACAGGCTTCTTATTAACACCAGAATAACCAATAGCTGGGGTTGCCCTGGGGCTTTGTGCCAGCCTGGCATTGAGCTCATTGCTACATCTGTAACACTCATTTATCTGACTCACACAATTATCCTATAGAGAACAATGTTACTGCCTCACTTTCAAGATGAACGAACAGCACTTCAGAGTGGTTCCTTAATTTGCTCAAGGTCACACAGCGACAAAGTGGCTGCTCCAAGATTTGAACTCTGGCTGGCTGGCCCCAGTGCCAAAACTCTCAACCCCTGAGCTAAATCAAATCAGACCAGCCATTCAATAGAAAAGGCAGTGGGGAGCAGCTGAGAGAGGGTTTGTGTCAAGGCTGTTAAGAACGATGCTGTATTACAAGGAGGAAGCAATTTTCCAGGGGCCCCTGGTCCATCTGGATGAGGCCAGCAAGCAACCCAGCCAGTGTTTCCAGAGGGCCCATGTGAAGGAATGGTGGAAGCAGCAAGCAGCTGTTTCTGCCTACCCAGCATCTACTTGTCTAGCATCCATACATCACTCCTTCCCAGGTGCTTCTAAATGGGCTGGGAACCCTTGGCTCCAGAGAGGAGAGTCTGGCCACTCAGAGATTCGAACTCTTGGCCATAGTGATTGGCTCAGGGATAGGCATTTGGTCCTTGCCCCATCCCCCGCCCCCCAGGGCCTGTGTCTGCAGCCAATTAGGAGGTGGGGACATCTTACTGAAGATGAAGACAATACTGAAGAAAACAAATCTAAGAGGCAGAGAGACTGAGCCCTGAGAGCATTCATGAACCCCTGGATCTAGCTAAACCTGAAGCTGGACTTGAATCATGGACCAGTTGCTCTTGTGTAGATTCCAACTCATGGCAACCCTACGTGTAGAACACTGCTCCACAGGGCTTTCGGTGGCTGACTTTTCAGAAGCAGATAGCCAGACCTTTCTTCAAAAATGCCTTCGGGTAGACCTAACTTCTAACCTGTTTAGCAGCTGAGAGTGCAATTAACTCTCTTTCTTGCTTGAGCCAGTTTTGAGTTGGGGCATGATTAAGATGACAAATGAGAATGACAGCATCAATGACTTACCTCTTTAGTCCCTCAACTACTATCTCTCCTGCAAAGGCTCAATAAATCCTTACAAGTAGGCTCTGGGCCCTAGCGGATTTACAGGTTGGAGAAACGAGATCAGAACCCAGCCCCACAAAAGAGAAAATCTAAAGTAGGATGGTCTTGAGTCACTCTTAAGGATTCCTTTGATATTTAACTCTAAAGTTCAGAGCCCATTCCGCCCCCAGAAACCCAGTACCTCGGAGGACGGTGAGCTTGGCATGGACCGTGATCTCCCCAACTGAGTTCTGGGCCACACACTCATACACATTCTCGTCCCGGGGTGTCCGCAGTGGCTGGATCCTCAACACGGCACCTGCACTCTCATCAAACTCGATCGTCTGCCGTGAGCACAGGAGAGAGGGCAGGGTGAGGCCAGGGTTCCAGAAGCGTTCCAATGCATGCAGGGCTGTCAGAGGATGATGGACAGCCCCATGGCCTGAGGGATGGCTGGGAGCGGAGCTGGGGGCTACGTGTGTATGTACCCGTGTGTGGGCGTGTAAGGTTATGCAGTTGTTAACTGCCATTGTTGTTGTTGTTGTTAATTGCCGTCGAGTAGGCCCCAACTCATAGCGACCCCTCCTTGGGTTTCCGAGGCAATATCACTATGGAAGTAGATTGCCCAACCTTCCTTCCGAGGAGTGGCTGGTGGGTTTGAACCGCCAGCCTTCTAGTTAGCAGTCAAGTGCCTTAGGTACGATGCATTAAGGCAGCCCCAATTCACAGCGACCCCGTGCACGAGTGAGTGGAAAGCTGCCCAGTCCTGCGCTGTCCCCACGCTTGTTGTGGATCAGACCGCTGTCATCCAGTAGGTTTTCAGTGGCTGGTTTTCGGAAGCCAACTGCCAGGCCTTTCTTCCGTGTGTCGTGGTTTGGACGCTCTGCTAAGGCCTCCCCTGAGGGACGGGTGGTGGCCGCCCATGAGGTGAACCAGGTGGGGACTGAACCCAAGTCTCCCACGTGGAAAAAACACAAAAACCAAACTCACTGCCACTGAGTCGATCCCGACTCACAGAGACCTCCTGTGGGTTTCTGAGGCGTTAAATCTTTACAGAAGTAGGTTGCCCAGTCTCCCTTCATGGAGTGGCTGGTGGGTTAGAATTGCCAACCTTCCGGTTAGCAGTCAAATGCCTCAGGCCCTACTACGCCAGCACATGGAAAGCAGAGGCAAGTGCACTAGATGTCGAAGCCCGGGCCTGGGTACATACGAGGAACGAGTACTAATGTGTACATGCCCATGAGTCTGTGTAACAGGCATGTAAAGGCATGTGAAGGCAGGTTGGGTGTGTGTATGAGCATGTCTGTGTACAGAGCTGTGAATTCCCATCTTTGCATGCAGTGGTGCTACACGTGAGCCTGTGTGTGCATGTGTGTGCATGTATGTATATGCACATGTGGTAATTCAGAGAGGGCAGGACTTTGTTGGAGGCCACACAACATGCAGCAAATGAGACAGCCAGGTGGGGCCAAATGGTAAGGAGGGTGCGCATGAGGGGGGCCCGAGGGCCCAGCCAGGCTCGCCCAGCCCTGGCTGCCCTGGCTCCATTTGGGGAACACTGCTGCAACCTTTCCCGTGGCTGAGGTACAGTGGCCACATCTAGAGGCTACTGGTCTATGGCTGACTTCCCACCCCACTACCACTCACCTCAAAGCGCTGTGAGTTGACCTTCTTGCCTTTCTTGTTCCAGGTCACTCGTGGCTTGGGGTCACCTGTGGCTTGGCACACGAAGGAGGCCACGCCCCCCGATACACCAATCTGGTCCTTGGGTTCTTTGATGAACCTGGGGGGCTCTGGGGAGAGAGCGGGGGGAGGAACACATCAGGCGAGTCTAAGGGTACAGCTGTGCCCCAGGGCCACGCACACGTGCCTTCCACCCCCTCCCCAGCCACAGCGGGATCACGTGGGGCCGCGTGGAATGGCTGGCAATTGAACACCTCCCGTCTCCATGGCATCCATAGGCACCCAGGGACCTGCATAGCCTCCACCCGCCCCAGACACCACCACAGACTCCAAGCCAAGCACACCTGCTCCTACATGCCTCGGGGCATGGTGGGAGGGGCACCCTTGAGACTCTGGGGTCCCCAAATTCAGAACCTGTGGCCCCCAGGGGTGATCAGCTAAACCCCATAGGGTCCTTGGCCCTGAAAAGACCCAGGAAGAGGTAATCTCATCTAATCCTCCAGTGGGACATGTGGGGAAACTGAGGAACAGAGCAGCGATGAAAGGAGAGGCCAAGGGATCTGGGGTCGAAGCCAGAATTTGAACCCCGGGCTCTGGCCTTTCAGTTCATGGGAGGTGTAACCACATGAGGGGTCAAGCCCAGGAGAGTGGTCTAAGCTCAAGAAAGGGTGACTGAGTTTCTGGAAGCTTGTGCTGACAAGCACTAGATCAAAAAAACAAAACACCCCAAACCCACTGCCTCAAGTGGATTCTGACTCATAGTGACCTCCATTCGGTTTCCAAGGCAGTAGATCTTTACAGGAGTAGACTGCCCAGTCCTCCTTCCACAGAGTGGCTGGTAGGTTTGAACCTCCAAACTTAACCTTCTGATTAAGTCAAATGCCTTAGGCACTGGCCACCAGAGCTCCTTGACAAGCACCAGAGCCAGTGTTTATCGAGCGCCTGCTGCACGTGGGTGTGGCACGTGCCAGGACAACGGGGAGGGGCAGGGTCGTCACATTCCTATCCAACACACAAAGAAACAGGCACACACCAGGCCAGGTGCTTGCTTAGGGAACACAGCCCAGGAGAAGTTGACTCAGGACATTTTTTTTTCCCAAGTGGGGGTAAAATTCACATAATGTAAAATCAACCATGTTAAAGTGTGCGGTTCAGTGCCAATTAATACAGTCACAGAATTGTCCCATCCCTCCCCACCCCAGTCTAGTCCAAACCATTTTCCTCATCCCAAAAAGAAACCGGTACCCACTACTGTACGTCATCAGGAAAGACCAATGGCTAGGAAAAGGCAGCATGGTGGGTACTGGGTCAGCGAGAACAGGGGACACCCTCCATGACAAAATAGCCCCCCAACGGACCCAAACCAACCAATCACAGTGAAGATGGCACAGCACCAGGCGCTGCTTCCTCCTGTCAGACGTAAGGCCGCAGCCGATTGGACAGCAAGTAAACCATAAACCACTACCCATTTGTCAGTTACTCTCTGTCTCCCCAGGCCCCTGGCAACCACTCATCCACTTCCTGTGTCTACAGATTTACCTGTTCTGACAAAGAACTCTGTGCTGTGGAACCATTTGTATCTGTCTCGTTTCACTGAGCATCCCATCTCTAAGGTTCGTCCACGTGGCATTTCTCAGAAGTCCGTTCTCCTGTACAGCTGATGGATGGATGGGAGTATGAACCAGGTTGTCTACTGTACCTGTGTTCCTTGCCGATCACTGTGATCTGACGTATTCAGACTCGCCAAGGAAGTCTCGGGCGAGAGCTGTTGTCGTCACTGGGTGCCACTGAGTCAATTCTGACTTATGGTGACTCCTTGTGACAGAGTGGAACTGCCCCCGTAAGGCTTCCCAGGCTGGGCTCTTTACAGAAGCAGAATGCCAGCTCTTTGTCCCGTGGCACTCACTGCTGGATAGGTTTGAACCACTGACCTTCTGGTTAACCGCGAGCAACTCAGCACTTAACCGTTTCTGGTATGTCTCTAGCCCCCTAGAACAGCCTCAGCTCTGCCTGGGGCAGGCAAAAGTACCCCCAGTTAAGGGTTCAATAGGAGCCCTGGTGACACAGCAGTTAAAGAACTTGGTTGCTAACTGAAAGGTTGGCGGTTCAAACCCACTAGCCACTCTGTGGGAGAAAGATGAGGCAGTCGGCTTCAGTCAAGATTACAGCCTTAGAAACCCTATGGGTGCAGTTCTACTCTGTTCCACAGGGTTGCCAGGAATAGGCAACAACTCAACACAGTGGGTTTGAGTTTATTATTATCATAGGTTCAAAACACTGTTTCCTTTTCATTGGCCATTTTTACAGTAACTCTGAATCACCCCCAAGTAGCCTGAGTTCACAGATATTTATCAACAGACTCAAGAGTTGCAACATACTTACAAGGTCCCTCTGGAAACAACTGAAATATCCAATAAAAGGGGAATGACTAAAGCAGCCTGGTCTGGCCACTGGAGCCCCTGGATGGTGTAAATGGCCAAGCACTCAGCTGCTCCCCAAAAGCTGGAGGTTCAAGTCCACTAGAAGTGCCTTGGAAGAAAGGTCCGGTGGTCTCCTTCCAAAAAAGTCAGCCATGGAGCACTGTATGAAGCACAGTTCTGCTGACACACGAGGTCACTCTAAGTCAAAATCAACTCGAGAGCAACTGCTCTTCCCCATTTTTGGTGTGGTCCAGACACACCACATGTGGAGTACTACACAGCTATGAAAATGGAAGAGGCTACTTTTTAGTGAACTAGTTTTGAAGGACAGTCAAGATTCAACTGTTAAATGGATAAAAGCAGAGGCAGAAAAGAGTAGAGAGGACTACTACTGTGTATGTGATAAGAATGATAAACCAGGGAGAGCATGTGTACATATCAGAAAGATCTCTAGTTATAGTTATCTATTATTATAATACAGTTATATGTAGTTACATAGATCTCTAGTTATCTCTATCTATAGTTATAGTGGCTGCCTCCAGGAAAAGGAACTGGGTGGTGGGACATGGGGAAAGGAGGCTTCATTTCTTGGTATCTAATTGAGGTTTGTTGTTGTTGTTATGTGCCATCGAGTCAAACCTGACTCATAGCGAGCCCTCCTTGGGTTTCTGAGGCAGTATCACTATGAAAGTAGATTGCCTAATCTTCCTTCCAAGGAGTGGCTGGTGGATTTGAACCACCAGCCTTCTGGTTAGC